GTATTGCTGCTCGGAGTAATGACATTTGCCTAAGTCATTTTAGAAACATTTTAAAAAGTAGGCAAAGCCAAACCTCTTTGGATAGATATTTTACCAAGCGACCTCTATCCAGTGAAAGTGCCGGTGGAAGTGAAGGAGAGAAAACAAAAAGCAGTGAATAAAAATTAAAAAAGAAAAAATAATAATAAAAAAATTAGTGTTGTTTTATAAGTTATTTTTAAGTTCTTGTTACATTATGTTATGTAAGTTAAGTTTTTAGTATCATTTCCCTTCTCCCTCTTCCGCCACCAGTTTACACCTTCACCGTCGTCTATGTCAAAGGTAAAGTGCAAATAAAACTACATTTTTTTAATCAATTATTATTCTATTATGGTTATTTATATATTTAGAAGTACAAAATGCATTTTTCATTGTTTTCCTTACTATACATATTTTTTTTTAATGCACTGCTTAGCTTTAATTTGAGTGTGTTTTGGTGTTGGAACGAATTATTTGGTTTTACATGTAATCGTATGGGGAAAAATGATTCACCTTACGACATTTTCATGATACGATCTCAGTTTCGGAACGAATTAATTTCGTATCCTGAGGTACCACTGTAACTAATTTCGTTGTTTTTTTAATTACCTTATTAAAAATGTCTTTTTCAATAGTACCGGGGTCGCGGGTCACTTGGCTTTTATAAAAAGGGGTCGTCACCCGAAAAAGATTGGGAACCGTTGGATTATAAGCTTATGCAAACTATTAATTATAGCTTCGACGATATTTAACAAAGGTATAGAATAACGCAATAAAACAGTGTCTAGACATAAATATTTGTTTGTAATTCAAAATGACCTTCGCAACACAAGATAATATTGCTGTTCAAGGCAGCTACACAGCAAGTACTTACGAACGCTACTTCCGTGTTAGAAACGCGTTATTATATTAATTTTTTGTTAATTTATTGAATTATTAATTACTAATTAACATATTCTTTAATTTTATATGTTAAATTAAATAGCTTTACTTGATTATATTCGAAATGTATTTTAATTTGTAAAATAATATTAATAAATATAGGCTAAATTATACGATATTGAAACTACGGTGGCTCTGTATAATTGTTGAATAGGTTTCTTACGATTCATCGATTTGCTCATGTTAAGTTTAAAATTTTTATATTTAGGGTGAATTATAAAATGAATATAAATTTAATTTGAGTGTAAAGAATTATAATATTGTTATTAATATTGTATTTTATAGTTCACTGATAATAATTAAAATAAATGTGATAACTTCATTACAGTTTATTTTTTTATAGTAGAATTTTACGAATTATAATTAGTTATAACCTAATTACTGTAATACATATTTACCGTATTGTTGTATATAAATTAATATTATTCATGATATTAAGTATTCAAATAATCATTTAGTACGTTTAGTTTTAGAAAGGAATTAAATGAAAATTTTTGTATTTACGAATATTATAAACAGCATCAATATAAATAAGTGTGCACATACTTCAGCAATAATATCTCTATTCATAAAAAAGATTACAATGTAAAATTATTAACTATCCATTAACGCAGATGTCTTAAATGTGCTGCAAATTAATGAGGACTTATGAAATTCTTTTCTAAATATTATTTTATGATGTGATTAAAAATAATTTAAAAGATCCATTTTACAAAATTTTGATATATTTCGCTACTTTATTTTTTATTTAATGAGCGTAAACAGGAAAGGTGCAAGCAGTCTTATGCTTACATCAGTTTTATGCATAAATCAACAACGATTTGCTTAACTCTTCTGGTAACATGTAAAATTCGTGTTAGGCCGTCTGTTATAATACTTTTTTGGCAAACTATTTTAATTTTTAACTATTATGAAATAGCACAAATCTTAGTTTTGAGGTTTGGGATACGTTTTATATAAAACTGTAAATTCTAATAAAAAGTAAAGTCGTCATTAAGTCCGAACCTACTAAAAATACACGCGAGCCCTTTTATTTCCTCACCCCTCGATCATTAATTACCTAAATTTATAACGTCAGTCTTCTTAATAAACAAACATTCCTGCAAAATTTCAGGAATTTTCGACAAAAAGTACACGAGTTATTAACCATATTAAGCAGGATGAACAAAATCGTGCTCTCAAAACACACAATAACGTTTAGCCTATACATAGAGAATTTACCCGCATTTTTTCTTTTTTTCTTTGCATCTCTCGACATTTTCCGGTGTTTAAGTCCAAAATATAAAAATATTAAGAAAATCATGTTTTGACTGATGGCTTTACTTTTCTTCTGTTATATGGGCCTACCTATAGCAGCCGGAAAAGTAAAACGTAAAGAAACTGAGTATAATAAAAAATTAAAACGTTGCAAATTTTGCGTACTGAACAGATGTCTACACACACTGTGTACAATATAATGTCGTACAGATTACTTCTTAATAAAAAAACGCGTTTGGATGTTCTATAATCTATGTATATAATGGTAATAAGTGCAGAGCTTAACAGTTAAGAGTTGAAAGTTGGAAATTGAAATTTGGTAAACAGTTAGGGTACCTCACGAGAACGCACACTACGAAAGGATTTTTCGAAATTCCCCCTTCCATAGGGAAGTGGAAAATGATTAAGGTTTACCCTGAAGAACTCGGCTTCTATTGTGCTATTTTAGATGCGTTTCTTTGCGTTTTTGCGAGAAACCGACATATTTTCAGACCCGTGTAAAAATTCTCTAATTAGTCTGGAAACGGGCACCTAATTGTTGAATACTGTGAAAACGGGTAAGATTGCCTAAAATGTAATTACCTTAATCTTCGCTATCGTTACTTTTTTCCCTAGAAACGCCGGGCTTATCTGCTAGTATATAGATACACGAATCTCTACGTAATGATTTAAATTTATTGTATATTTTTATATTATTTCTTACAGATATAAAGAAAATATAAATCTATATTAAGTTTAATATTTTAAGGCATCGCTAAACGTCATTAAAAGTCGACCAATTAAGAGGATATATATGTAATCACTTATATTTACTTGCTAACTATTTAAATATAACATATTTTAATTCACTTACATTGTAGAGTCCAGCCTTTATTTTGCTTTAAATCATTTAATAAACGCATCCCACCTTCGATACAGGCGCGAGTGACGTTTACTTCTTCAGTAATTTTCAACATGAGGGGATGCATCAATCGAGCGACATTACTCGTGACATAATTAAATATATCGTAAAAATCGTTTAAAATACGACCAGCTATTTCTACGTCATCAGAAACTACACCTTTATTCGACTTCGAGGAATTTTCAACAATCGCGAAATCAGCAAAAGGAATTACCAAAACGAAAACACAGGCAAGAATTATTCGATTCCTCATGATTTTAACTGCAGAATTATTTCTGAGAATACTGAGTTGTTCAGTAATATTTATATATTAATTTCATTAATCAAAAAAATTTCTATCGAAAATTGGAACAAAGCCAACAAATTTTAACCGGTAAATATAATAAAAAATCGCATTTATCAATATGATAATTTTGGCATATCTGTTTGATCTGTTTGATCTGATGATAATTTTGGCATATCTGTTTGATCTGATGATGCCTTTGATCTGTTTTGTATCTATGAAACTTGAAAATCAACAAAAGAAAGAAAATGAATAACTTCGAGAAATAATGGAGAGGTTGCGGCCGACGTTTTCAACGCGAAAACGTGTACGTCGGGCGTTCAGCGCCGCCTTCCTGTGTGTCTAGAAGCTTGACAATGGCATTTGGAACGTCGAGCATGATTCCACTGACGTTCCAAACGTTATTGTAAAACATCTAGACTCACAGGAAGGCAACGCTGAACGTTCGACGTACACGTTTTCGCGTTGAAAACATCGGCCGCAACCTCTCCATTATTTCTCGAAGTTATTCATTTTCTTTCTTTTCTTGATTTTCAAGTTTCATAGATACAAAACAGATCAAAGGCAGAGATATGCCAAAATTATCATATTGATAAATTTGACTTTTTATTACATTTACCGGTTAAAATTTGTTGACTTAGTTCCAATTTTCGATAGAAATTTTTCCGCAACTCGGCCGCAACCTCTGTAATAGAACAAATCAATTAACATCTTTAATTAAGGAAAAAGTAAAATTTTCAATGGAGTTGGTTAACGACTAATTTAAAAAACTTCGTTCAAGAAACTTCTCATTAAGATGGGACTTCTAGAAATATATTTAGAAGAGCCCGCTGCTAACAATTAATCGATAAGCTTTTGTTTAAAACAACAAGTGATATGGTTTTGATGTTTAAATAAAACAATTTTTTCAATTGCAAATGGCGGGCTTTTCTGAACTTAGCTCTAGAAGTCGGATTTTCTTGCACACGTACTTTACATTTAATGTTTTCCGGTTGAATTGTTTAAAATACTTGCTTAATTTATAACTGTTAAAAATTTAAACTGAATTATTACGAAGATTTCGTGTTTTAATTATTTCGATTTGGTCTAAAAATGGTAACGAAAACGTGGTTATTTATGTTATTCGTAATGCTACTAAACGAGAGTTGTGATGCTTATAAAAATGTATCGTAAAAAAACAGATTTGTCGTCTGTGTAACAAATAATTTCTTATTCTATATTTATATATTTATTTGTAAATATATGAAATTCGCTAATCATAAATATCAAATCAGTTGTTTAAAATTATGTTGTGTAACGTGCAAATTTTCAGGGAAAAAAAGATAAAAATACGCCAAACAAAACAATTAATTTATATCGTATTATTTAAATATTTTCCTCAAATGTTCTCGAATTTAAAATGATAGAATTGATAGAAACGATAAAATGCATAATGTTTACTTTAATTTAAAATTCCATTCAATTTAAAATTGAAGTAAACATGATGCATTTTTCCTTAGATTATATGAAAAATNAGGACGATATCGACAATCGTGAAAAATAAAGATATTATTAAATTTGCTAACGTTGCGAAAGGGGTTAAATCAATTTCTAAACAGAGATCGAAGACATTAGATCGTGTCGAGAAATTGCTTTTCCTTTGGATAACTGAAAAACAGTGCGCTGGCGACAGCGTATCGGAAGAAATTATTTGCGGGAAATCTAAAAAGATACATGCTGATCTCATGAAAAATCAAGCAGGAACTAGCGAGGAAAGCGAGGTGTTTAAAGCCAGCTATTTTTTTACACGAGAACGGATTAATCATTTTTACATTACTTCTTATGGAAAAGGTTGGTTTGGTATACGTCGTATTCGGTATATATCCAAACACCAGGAACGGATTAAGGTCGTATACCGAGGTTCCACTGTAATTCTAAGTGAAGTAGTTAATTAAATGATTGTAGAAAGGAAATTAAAATTCTCATTCGGGATGTGTCCGTTCTGAAGATAAGGGAGTTAACCCTTAATATAACCGTTAAATATTTTAACAGGTTGTGAAACGCTTTCCTGAAATTGGAAGGACCAGAAGAAAATCCTTTCTCAAGAAAGCTTAATCACACTCTTCAATAACAAGATGAAGTCCTCGATTACATTCTTCCTCCAAATTTGCATTTTGATAAACTTAAAATGGAGTTACCGAGCTCAAGAAGTAAACGAATTCAAGAAGGGTGTCATTTTTATTCACAAAGAGAACTTTTTGATGACAACTAGTCATTGGACATTGATCCATGACTTGGATTTTGATCACTTTGATTAACAAATAGAATTTTTGACTCAATCCCTTGAATCTTTAAAAGCCATGATTGTAAACAGAGAGCGAGTAACATTTGAAAGAAGAAAGGATCAAGCAAGATGGATCTTACCTACAAATGGATACGAAATACTTATATCATCTTTCTCGGAGTATAAAAGAGACTATTATAATTTAAAGGGGTTAGTATATAGAAAGTAGAAAAAGAAGGATAATCCATAGGGTCGTGGTTGAAATGGTTGATATAGAAAGTAGAAAAAGAAGAGGATTAATCGACGTAGGAGGTAAAGCATTGAAGTTTTTGTTCGGAACAGCTACATCCGAAGATATCGAAGTTTTAAATGGAGAAATTACGAATATAAAACGTATTAATAAAGGTGTAATTCATTTAGTACAGTCAAAAGCGACTCTTCTAAACGATACCTTGAGAATATGCAAGAACAACAGACAGAAAATAAATGATTTATCAAGAAGGCAAGATTCCTTCGAGAACTTATTAAAAATGTATCGATATAATTTAGCATTCGACATTATCATGAGAAATATAGAATTTGCAATGCAAGAATTTCATACACAGATAATCGAATTAAGAGGAGCTATAGACGTCTTAGAACAAGGAAAATTAAGCTCGTATTTTATCTCAAAGGAAGTGATGTATCGTACGTTACGAGAAATACAACCACAACTTCCGGAAGGTTATTCATTGATAGAGCAAGTCGAAGCTGATACTCTCTTTAAATTTTACCAGTGGATTACTACAATTGCTATCCCACTTCCAGGAAAATTAAGAATTTTTGCAAAAATGCCATTGAAAACTCCAAGTGGATATTTCGATGCTTATGAAATTTTGGGATTACCTACATATATTCCTACCTTGAGAGCTTATGCATATTTTAAAACGGAATATCCTATTTTAGCATTATCAATGGATCGACAATCGTACATGTTGTTACGTCATCACGAATTGGCTGTTTGCCAAATGTCAAATGTCACAGTTTGCTGTTTGTTCACCAGACATTCCGATATTTAGAGCTCCACATCAGAACTGCGAATATTCGTTATACATCGGAAATGATCAGAAGGTTACAGAACTTTGTTCCAAGGAAATTGTAAAAGATTTTTATCCAATTTGTAGAAGAATTGATAAGCAAGGAACATGGGTATTTTCTACAACCTTTACACTAGTATTAGCAGTTAAATGCTCTGCTAAACAAAATAATTTGCATTCCTTACCTTCTAATATAAGCAAATTGAATAATGTTGGAATAATAAGATTAACAAATACATGTGTTGGATATTTACCTGGAATTCTCCTCACTTCACATTTCCACATGAGGTCAACTGTTATCTCAAGAAACAGTCCAAAGTTTATTATACCTCCAATTGAAACAATATTTTCCAAAATGGAATTAGAGAATTTGCTAGAGAGTTTAAATACTACGGAGAAATCTAAGAAGCAAAAAGATGATGATATTAAGGTAGCAGAAAAATCATACGAGCAAATGAAGAAGGATTTGGATAGATTATTGAAAGAGAATGAAGATCTTTCAAATTCATACACTCCAACCATTTCAACCACGACCCTATGGATTATCCTTGGAAGTATAGGAATATTAATCTTACTCATATATGCATATTATACACTCAAGCATCGTTGTTGGAAACGAAAATTTAAAAAGAAAGTAAAGAAAGAAATGTCACAACAAGATATCTCACTTCAAAAAATTCCTCAGAGAAATAACTCAGTGGTAGAAGAAGAACCGGAAATAGTCGAACCTGTTGAAAGCTCAATTGAACAAGCTTCAAGTTCAACACAGGCAACGAAACATTTTGTTCGCACATATCGACTTTAATTCCAATTTGATTTTTCGAGATGATAATTTCATTTTTGATTGAAATTTTTCGATTATATAATGGTCGATTTTGTCTACATANTTCATTAATAGTCGTAATTGTCATGCATGAGCCAAACCACTTTGCTAGTTGCAGTTTTTAAAGTCCTTTTATAAATATTACTTAAATTCTCTACTATTTACATTTGTAAGTAGCAGAATTTGAAGGAGATAAATTATAATTATTCGAATTCACTTTACATTTGTTCACAAAATCTTAAAAGAAGAAGAACTTTTAACTATTATAAACCAAGAAAATCAATTACAACATAAGTTCAAAAACAAGAGGTCTTTTGAAGCTAAACTTATTTCATTTATTACTCCATAAGATTCGTTATTAATTTCTCAACTATTTACATTTGTAAGTTGCAGAATTTGAAGACGATAAATTATAATTTTTCGAATTCACTTTACATTTGTTCACAAAATCTTAAGAGAAGAAGAACTTTTAACTATTATAAACCAAGAAAATTAATTACAACATAAGTTCAAAAACAAGAGGTCTTTTGAAGCTAAACTTATTTCATTTATTACTCCATAAGATTCGTTATTCTTCGTCTTACGCTAATTTTCTGTATATTTTTATACAGTAATACCTCGACTTACGCTACCCCGACTTACCCCGACTTACGCGAACCCAGAGTTACGCGATTTTCAAATCTCGCCAATTCGTCTTTTGTTTGAGCGCCACGCAACCCTTGATTACTCACTCCCTTCACACTATTGTTCGGCTTATGTGTTCGGACGTGTCGCGCGGAATCGACACATAG